GGCTGCCTCTAATAGGTAAGTATAGTGGTTCAGGCCTCTGACACAGTACTACAGTACCTTTAAAATTGATTAGGGCTTGCTTCAATTGTTCATATAGTCCAGTATGTACACCAAATTAAGAAGTCAGGAGTGATGTAGGAATGTACAAGGCAGGATACAAGCCAGGAAAGTGAATGGGCATTGATATACTTTACCTAAGCCTGAAGTTCTAGGGCTGCTCAGCCCAGCCTGTAAAACCATTACAATAACAGGATTTATTTGTGCCATTTCAGCAGTAAAATAGAACTTATTTTGTTCTTCCATAGCTCATTCAATTGCATGATTCCAAAATAGAATATTTATTTAGAAATTGGTGACCACTTAGACTATGCAGAACGGGTAACGGCTGCCTCTAATAGGTAAGTATAGTGGTTCAGCCCTCTGACACAGTACTACAGTACCTTTAAAATTGATTAGGGCTTGCTTCAATTGTTCATATAGTCCAGTATGTAAGTGACCACTTAGACTATGCAGAATGCAAACTTAACATGGGTAATGGCTGCCTCTAATAGGTAAGTATAGTGGTTCAGGCCTCTGACACAGTACTACAGTACCTTTAAAATTGATTAGGGCTTGCTTCAATTGTTCATATAGTCCAGTATGTACACCAAATTAAGAAGTCAGGAGTGATGTAGGAATGTACAAGGCAGGATACAAGCCAGGAAAGTGAATGGGCATTGATATACTTTACCTAAGCCTGAAGTTCTAGGGCTGCTCAGCCCAGCCTGTAAAACCATTACAATAACAGGATTTATTTGTGCCATTTCAGCAGTAAAATAGAACTTATTTTGTTCTTCCATAGCTCATTCAATTGCATGCACAGAATGGGATTATGGGAGGACTGTGTGGAGGCAATGGTCTGAGAGTGCTGCACCACCTCACAGGGCAGGAGTTCTTTGTCTTCTAATGTGTTCCCCCCCAGCTTTGTGGCCTGCTGGACTTATGCCCCTTTGGCCCCGGAATGAGATGGACAGAATGGGATTATTGGAGGACTGTTTGGAGGCAGTGGTCTGAGAGTGCTGCACCACCTCACAGAGCAGGAGTTCTTTGTCTTCTAATGTGTCCCGTCCCCCCAGCTTTGTGGCCTGCTAGGCTTATGCCCCTTTGGCCCCGGAATGAGATGGAACGAGGGTTCAAGTCATTCCAAGCCTTCCTGTCTCCCTTGGGGGCTGCCTAGCTGACTCCTCTATACCTGAGCAGTTGTACAACAAGGAAGCATCCCCCAGCTGACACTCCTCAGCCTGGGAAGTCTGGGGCTTAAACAACCCAATGGGGCTGTTGTGGGTCAGCCAAGACTCAGTAACAGTGAGGACTCCTCAAGAGAAGAAAAGCCTCAGGAAATCAGCTCTGAACCAGCAGAAACTGGCAAGCAAGAAGATGAGCTGCAGGCTTGTCAGAGTTCACAGCCGACAGCTGATACAGAGCAACCTGCACCTTCCAGGCTCCTTCCAACAGAGGAAATCCAAGTGGTCATTACCAGCCCTCCACTTTCACCAACACCCTTTGAGCGTCGGAGATGAAGGCTTAGAAGGGAGCTTCAGGAAAGAACATAATGCGCGTGTCTCCTGGCCCAACGCCAGCCGCTTGCTGATGATGAGTAGCTGCAGGGTAACTCCCAAGCAGATGGCTGCAAGTAATACCTTCCAGCAGAGGCCTATAAAAGCCAGTCAAGGGAGACTGCTCAATGTGGAAGTAACAAGTCACCGATGTCTTGACTCAGTGACCATAGTTCTGAACTCTGCTCTGTTCCTGTGACCCTTGGACTGGTTCTTGACTTTGACTCTGGAATCTTGCTCCCTGCACTTATGAATGACCTTGCACTGTTGGACCTTGTTTCCTGTATAATACTCTGAACTGGACTCTGCTCTCTTGGTAACTGTCCTTTGGACTGAACTTTGATCCTGGAATTTGCCTTGGATTGACCCTAGATTCTGAAAGGGGCTCACCTTGCCCCCACCCTTCTGGTTCCTGCCTTGTGCATCTTGTTTCCTGTATAATGCTCTGAACTGGACTCTGCTCTCTCGGTAGCTGTCCTTTGGACTGAACTTTGATCCTGGAATTTGCCTTGGATTGACCCTAGATTCTGAAAGGGGCTCACCTTGCCCCCACCCTTCTGGTTCCTGCCTTGTGCAACCCAATGGCCTGCAGAAATGTTCTTCCTCTACCTAAACCCTGAAAAAGGACTGGTCAATCCTGCTGTGCAGTTCTAGGCCAAGCTGCTCCTATGAAGCCACTGTGAGCAACTGTTTGCCTGGTGGGTGGGGTCTCGCAGCTGTGGGCATGGTACAACCACTGGTGCTGATTAGGGCTCCTCCATTGTTGGTGACAGAGTGGGTCTGGGGTTCCTGTCACCTGCTGGAGTAGCTGAGCTATGCCTTGTAGTCCTGAGGGCTCAGCCAGAAGTGGGAAGATGCACTGTTGTCCAGCCTCCATACAAGACTATATGTTACAGCTGGGCCCAGAAAAATAATACCCTGGCACAGAATGTTGGACTAGCACCAAGGAGCCCTGGATTTCAAGGCTGCCAATAGCCTGGAGAAAATTAGAGGCTTAATGGGGTGCTATTTTACCAGTGATGTTATCTACCTCCATACCATGAAAATGTTTAGCTGCCCATTATCATATATCAAGCCTCTATTAAAGGGACAGGACACTTTTCTCCAGGCTTGTTGGCACCTCTGCTGAATTCCAATCCCTATTTAATCCAGAATTCCTCATAAATTGCTTCAAAATAAGCAGGGGTAATGTGCTATGGAACTGCACAAATGTAAGAGACTCCAACCTACACAGCACCTCTTCCCCTAGGGATCAATCTGCCTGTTGAGATCACCACCTTGTCTTCATTTCCTCAGTACAGGAAGTGAAGTCATCTGTAGCAAATAGCAGAGACTTTCTTTTAGTGGCTCTGGCTTGGAACAACTTCCTTCAAGGAGTGTAACTGTGTTGCCTCCCTGTGTGGTCTTTAAGCAGAAAAGTAAAGGTTTTGTGAAAGAAACGTTTTTAAGCCCTAAAGTGTGCTATTTCCTGAGCTCACCAAGTGTTGTTATGTTGTGAGGCAGTTGGTAATATGTTTTTTTTCCCTGATTCATATTACAATATGGTTAGTATTTGGAGCCAATTTTATCATTATTTCATTTTGGAAGATTTTTGGCTGTAAACTGCTTTAAATTCTGGGAAAGGTAGGGCAAACATATTTTAAACAGGTAAACTAAGAATCAAATAACTCAGCAGTTTTTCCATATATGCCTCTGTGGAATTTTGCATCAAGCCCTTTCCCACATGCCTTAAAGTTATGTTTTATGCCACTAGTTCAGCTTGTCAAGAGCTACCTGTTTTCTCTTGTACTTTGAACATTTGGTTTTATCCACCTTACCTGGTACCTGGGGTTGAAGCCCATGTATTGGTGGCACTGTTCACAGTGATGGTAAGTGTTGTAAGCTGCATATTTGGATAACCTCATCCGAGTTGTCTGACGGCGCATATACAAGTCCTCTTGTTTTCTGTTTGCTGATCTGTCTATATAGGAGGGTTTGGACTGTTCAGTGTGCTTGAATTGAGCAAATGATGAATTAATGTTTGAGTCTGTTGCTGCTGCTAAAATCACAGCCTTGTTTCAGCAAACCTACAGTGGCTACAAATTTTCAGTCCAGATTGGCCCAAAATAATTTTCCACCAGAAGCCTGGTGATCTAAATTGTTTTTACTGTCAAAAATATTGTTAACTTTAATAAAGCAAATGATTGACACTGTTTTCCAATCTGGTCTATATAAACCATGCAAGAAGATGAGGGGTTTGGGTTTTTGTTTTTTTTAAATGAGCATGCATTTTTCTTTTTTCTTTTTTTTGGTATCCTCTAAAACACTGTAATGCTTATTACTGTTGAGAAGGTATATTTTTCCCTAGAGAGCACATGTTTGCTTCCTCCCTCTAGCGGTATCCCACAAAACAGAATGAACTTGCTTCCACACGGATTTACAGATCATTTTCACCCAGTGGCTAGACTGTGGCTCAGCAGACACATGCTGTTTACACACAGCTAAAAAGGCAGGTTTAGCTAGTTCGGTTTAGTCCCTTTCTGCTTTTTTCGTCCCAGCCACATGCTGGGAACAAAGGTAGGATGGAAGAAAGCTAGGGAGGAGGCAGTTGCAGATGGAAGTACTATGTGACCCCACGAGGATTAGAGACCAGACTGGGCAAAGGAAGGAACAAGGTGTGGGCTCACGAGAGATAGGCAGAATGGAGAGATTTAGGGAGAGCCGATAGATGTGGCAGCAGTGGGAGCTATGAGGGGTATATTGCTTGGGAAGAACAGAAAAGCAGCATTAGTGGTTGCTACTGTGAATGTGACTGTCATCTGGATTAATTTGGCTCTAAAATTAGTAACTATTTATCCCAGACACTAGTAAATAATTGGCTTGGATCCAGCAGAGCATTTTCATGGATGGAAATATTTCTACCCACAGAGTGGAACTTTCTTAGTCCCCACCAGGGCCGGCTCGAGGTGTTTCTGCGCCCTAGGCGAGGCTGCCTTGTGGCGCCTTTTCAGTGCAGATGCCAACCTCCCGGTGGGGCCTGAAGACCTCCCAGCTGGCTGCCTCCTTGCCCGCCCTCTCCTACCCCCGGAACTTTGCCCTGCTGGCCCTGGCTGCACTGCCCGCCCGGTG